AGCACACAGCATATAAAGTACAAAATGCACTGAGTTTTACTTGACCAGAGCTGCTGATTCGCCCCCTGATATATACCAAATCATTCATTATTTCAATTGCTAAAACACATGTATAATTTACTGGTTGATTTTAAATGATTATTTAAGCACTTAACAGATTGAAAAACAAATGAATCRTTGGAAAGAAAACCACACGCAGCTTCAAACAAATTGTCTTGTCAGACAAAGTGACCAGCAAACACATTAGCACAAACAATACTAATTATCAACCACTGACACAGAATACACTTAATGCTTAAGTAACATAGCCTAATGGCTAACAAAAAGTGACAATGTTTACATATTAAATTTTATATTGAATTATAAATTATACATCAGACTGATCAGTTACCTTGTAACTGTCCACCCTTTGGCCAAAAGAATAAGYAGAAGAAGAAAAACAATATGTGCAACATAATGAAATACACGAGCTGCAAAATAAAAAGACACTTTTCTTAATTAATATGCCAAAACTATTAAATCTGTAATGGTCCTCAGTTTTGGAGGTATTTTATCCCTGACCAATCACTAGTAATCCATCATTGACAGTATAAAAGTGAGGTGTAAATACACACTGGTRGTTACTGACCTACTACTTGTACTGCATATTTAGATTCGCCTGTTTTTCCATAATCCACATAGTATCCAATGAATATGATTAAGCTAATTACTAGAATAGAAATAACCATATTTTTAATAAAAGTCATTTGGAAACTCATATAAAAGAAAAATAGTGTGATCATAACAAATTCATTGGAAGCCTCAGTGCAAGGATTGCTAGAGCAGTTAAAATGGTATTACACACAGTTTTTCTCAAATAAATTAAGATCTAAATTGCTTTAGCCAGACAGCAATACTTATTGGGAAGACCCCACACACACAACCTCAACATTGACTGTTTTAGCATATGCCACCTCTCACAAATAGTTTTTGATTGAGGGACAAAAGCCAGCATTTAGAGAGAAAAGCCCTTGGAGCGGCAAGGAAGAGATCCCAGACCAGTGATATTGTTTTAACTGCTCAACCATCCTTGCTCCCAATAATTTAGTCAATTGATTGATTTATTCATTCTATTCAGAGC